TATGCTGAACATAGACCTCTAAGATATCTCATGCAGCAATTAGTGGGTGCAAATAATATAGCCAACATCACATGTGTCCATCCAGTTCCATAGTCTACATCAATTGCTATTGCACTTGGGTCCATTGGATTCAATGGTTTTGGACGTATTCTTACATTCACTGGTTTATCTTGTCCATGAATTGCAAGGCATGCCTGTTACAAATGATCTTGGTAATGTTTCTCATGAACAGCACCAATGCACTTGAATGGCACAGCATGGGTGATTTCGTCCTCGTCACTTTCATCCTAATCATTTAACTGGTCACCACTTTCTGCCCTATCACCTTCATTACCATATCCATGCTGACCAGGTTCAAGACCAGCCAACCACTGAACCACTCAAGTAGATCTCTTTCTACAAAATCATAACAAGAAAATTTTTATTTTATTATTTTATACATACACTGTAATCTCTAAAATTAGCAATCTAATGCAAAAGTGTGTCACTATTTACAGTAATATTAGAACAACACACAAATGTTATTTTACAGATGAAAATTGAAAAATATACTATACTGTATGCACATATATGTAAAAATCTATCCATACAAACAGGCATCATACTTCAGCAAAAATGTATTAAACAATTCGTTTAACTCAAAACATGTACATATGTATCACAGTGACACAGTACATATACACACACTATAGGGTCAAACTAGAGGCATTGTAAACACAAGTAAGACGCCATATTTATATTAAAAGTACAAGAATAAAAACAACAAAGCGGAAATTTGACTATAAAATAACACGATAACTGTAATGCATTGTAGTATACCAACCTTAAATACTGCGCTTGTTTTCACGTTGATGATACACAGAGATTTAACGCCATCCAACTTAGAAAGAAGAGCCTCGCTATTGGGAATATAAATTAAACACAATTCCTTTTCTCAGACGGATTATTTGTAAAGCTAAAATGACAACACGTCCCATGCAATTTAAAAAAAGGTAAACTTGATATAGTAAAACACAAGTCATAATGATGATCGCAACAATACAGCAATAACATGCTGTTTTCACAAAATATCGCAGCCTGACATTCCTGTCGTTCGAAAGCTTCCATATTGGTTTTGTAGTCAGAGAGATGTTCACTCCTCGACAGTCAACAGTCAATGAAAGCCACGCGTGGAATTAGGCGCTCAATACCCATGATGCTTTGCGGTCTGCTGTCCAAATTTTAAACGCGTTGTTGCATCGTTGAAAAGTATGCGTTCATTCCTTGGAAACACGCCGTTGCTAGGGGCGTAACGTGAACTTTTGGCGCGCGTTGTAACGACGTAAACATGTTTTTCTATTCTTGGCATTGACGAATTAAATTAGATTTTGTCACATTAAATTAGATTTTGTCACAAAATCGACCAGGGAGTTCTAATTTGACTGCAGGCATTCTAAAAATACCTTACTGTTCCGTCGCAGGCTTAAGCGGCGTTTTTACAATATATTTAACTCGTTATACGTTTGTTTGCACGCCGTTAAGAAGTTCAACAATGCCCGCCAAAAGTTCACGTTACGCCCCTAGCAACGGCGTGTTTCTAAGGAATGAACACATACTTTTCAACGATATAACAACGCGTTTAAAATGCAAGCTGCAAGCTCAACTGCAATTGGCTGTAATTAATGGATGAGTTCAAGGTCTTCAAGTGCAAAGGAATTAACTTTGTCCTTGGTTGGCTACAAGAAAACGGCTTTGAACGATTGAAGAGAGTTTTTGAAGGAAAGAAAAACTTGGAAATTCCAAAATTGCGAAATGCTGTAGCTTCCAATTCGTACATGGGGTGGGGCATTTGAACTCCAATTTTTCCCAATACGTGGTGTATTTGAACGGGAATTACAAATATATGTAGGGAATTTGACCTGACCAAAACGTCAAAATCCAAATTCCCGGGGGTATGCCCGGGGGGGGGGATGTCAAGGTTTCGATTTGATTCGCGCATTAGTGGGCAGCACTCTCCACTTGATGAGTAAAATCATCTGGCATTAGACAGAGTAAAATACTCTGGCATAAGACAGAGTAAAATACTAAAAGTAGAGCACATCAGGGTGCATTGCCACTTAATTAAAGGGTTAACTCATTCAGCACTCTCCCCTTCACAAATAAAATTTGCCATTAGACAGAATAATAAAGTAGGGTGCATTGTGTTGCATTCAGACTTATCAAAGGCTTAACAGGATGCATAGGCATATACTGGTCAACCCCAGCCTAGTCCCAGTCGTTCTGAAGCAAGCGCGAGAAAAAACGTGAATGTAGTACGAGACTGGGACCTAGGTGTGACGTCACCGCTAAAGGTGCTTCAGAACGCCTAGCAGATTTCAGTATTTTTAATATGGCGGAAAATTTATATATACAAATAACCTTGTAAATACGACAATGTTCGTTGATCATGTTCCATGTCTGCATAACTAAATTCAAACTGTATTAAAAATGTGCTCAATTAAAAAAAATTATATGTAATGTTTACAACATGAGCGGCCGTGTTGTATCGGATATACAAACTCGAGCCGAAGGCGAGAGTGTGTAGATCTGATACAACACGGACGCGAATGTTGTAAACAACGGAAACTCGGCATAATATTCAAGCTTCTAGATAGCATTTAATATGGCTTTATATTTTAGTAAACACGAGTCATATTTAGCCCGTTATTTAATTCTGACCGTATGGTAGCGAAACGTAGCCTATTTCATTGTTCCGACAGCATTAGAGCAAAACTAATGACTTAACTATAAGCGCAAAGGAAATTTCCATAACATTTTCTATTTACAAATGCGATATACTTGGTAACCAGGCCAGGGACCACTTTTTTAAATCAGGGACCATTTTACCGAAATCTGCTAGGCTCTCTCCCTGAAGCGTTCCGCACAGCAAACCCAGGTATAAAACTTTTAAGACTTATTTAAATATATCAAAGCCGCGAATAGAGAGAGAGCCTGGGACTAGGCTGGGTCAACCCATAGAGTGCCAGAGCTCTCCCCTTGCATTGACAAGTATATTCGTCTGGCATTCGAAAGGAAAATTATGTGGTGGATTGCCTGACTTATCAAAAGGGATAATAGGGGCCCACAGCAACTCTCTTGTTCTCTCAGGGGGGGAGGGGGTTAGGTTACACTCACAAATGAATAATAGCTGTTATCGTATTTGAATACCCGCTGTGGCGAACCAGCGGTATCTCAGTGGAAGTACGGACGAAAACGAGGCTAAAGGGTAAAAAACACAAAACATGACCCTATAGCCTCGTCTTGTTGTTAAAATAATGCAGATACCACTGGTCCATAGCATAGACATATTCAATTACGATAACAGCTATAATTTGAAACAATTGGCTGGTTTGACATTTTAATTGATTATTGCAATATTTTCACATTGATTTTGTAATTTATTTGTTAATTTTATTTTTAATTATTAATAATATGAAAATAATGTGGTCTAATAAACCCATAAATCAATATACTGTTAATAAAATTGTATTTTATGTGTAGTTAATTAAATATATTCATCAACAGTTTGTGACTCCTCTTTCGCAACAAGTTGCTCAATGGTGCTTTATTTCTGAAAAAAATATGTGAGAAATTAATATTACACTAAAACAACCAAATACTTTATATAATAATTGTTGTGGTTACTGTTCGACACTGGATTCCAACGTTTAAATGCAATTAATCCAAACAACATTACACATGATTATGTACACATAACATTCTTGCCAGGCACAGATTTTCTGGGGGGGGGGGGTGTACCACAGAAATTATTTGCAAACCCCCCCCCCCCCCAAGAGGCATTTGGCACTGCCCCCCAAAGTTTTTGTTTGCACCCCCACAAATTATATATATTTTGATTTGATAGTTTCATATTTGATTATTCTTACTACTAAATTTGTAAAATTACCAATATTATGGTCTCAGATCTTGCCATGCAGACATAGAAAACAAATTTTGTTAAACTTTTTCCTTGGCCTTTCCAGGTGTTGCCACCAGGCCCCGGCCAAAGCAAGCAGCATCACCCCCCCCCCAGATATTTATCCCCCCCCGAACAAAAATATGAAAATCCTTCTCTGATTCTTGCTAACAATAAGTTTACATGAACCTTGCCTGCACCCAACCCTAACACCTCAACTGGCCCTCATCCTAACCGGTAAGGCCCCCTGTTTGCACAAAGCCAGTCAGAATGCTCTTGAAATTCCACTCATTTGAACCCAGGACTTAAGCAGATATATACTTAACTAACAATGAAGGTGATAGTCGTCAGTTGACAACTTACGGGCCCGAGGACTTGCTTGAATTCAACTGAAATTTATTTTGTATCACTTTGGCATGTTGAAAGAATGAGGAAAATAGTTCACTTAGACAAATAGCATGTAAATATTGGGGTTTGGTGTCAGGCAAACAACCACTGTCTAAAATATTTTCCTCCAAATATACATGAATTACCAACATCAAATATCATCTAAGCTGCAGAGCTTCCCCATTGACGAGTGATATTGTCTGGCTTTAGAAAGTAAAAAAAAAGTAGGGCACACTGGGGCGCATTGCGGCTCAATAGGTTAACTAGAGACATTGTCAGTTTTTTTTGGTTAACCGATAAGCTACAGAGCTTCCCCATTGACAAGTAAAATCATCTGGCAAGTAAAAAAATAAATAGGGCGCATTGCGGCTCAACGGGTTAATTATGAAATTGATTTTACTCATGCAATTTCTAGAGAAAATGCTACAGGCCTCTAAACCTGATCTTATATATGAAACTAGCTTTGATCTTATATATGCCTGATCTTATATATGAAACTGCCAATTTTTGGATCTAGACTTGATAATTCTACACATTAGTCATTATAATTTCATTGCCATCAGTGGCCAGTTAACTATAAAGTACATGGATTAAATCATTCAAAGCCAAGCCATGATAGTTCTGGCTTAAAAAGGTCTTCCTCTATAGGTATACTAATATAATAGAAACCACTTTAATTTTAATAAGTATGATCATGAAGCAGATGGTGGTCGACTGGCATTTTATATCGTAAAATTTGAAATATAAACAAATGAAACTAAAATCTGAAATTTCAACCATTTTCTTTCGAGGAAGACTGTTTCTCGTATTAATATAGTTTGGGCAACTTAATTGTATACATCAGTTGCTAAAATTGTCCACTACACAGTACAAATGGGCTGTTTATTTCGCTTTGTTTTGACATACTCTATCACAAATTAATATTGAACATATAAACAGTATTTTTTTACCTTTACAAATAACGTCTTTCCAAAATTTCTTGAGGTTTGAAGATTCGTTCCCTGTCTTTCACTAGCCAGGATGATTCTTACCACTTGTGCAACTCGAAACAAATGTTAAAATGTCGACTGAAGAGAAGGCAAACACCGAGGCAAACTTCAAAACAAAAAGCTAAAATATTTTTGTGAAAATCAGGGGGATGAGAAAGTGGTAGCGGGCTCAAAATGAGCCTTGCTCAGTGGTAATTACCACGAGGATTTGGGACCAGTGGCGTCATTCTGGCGTCAGCAAACGTGAAAATCCTTGAAAATCCGCCATGTTTTTGGCTTCACTTGCTTGACTGAAGAGAGATAGGAGCACTTCCTCCAGATATATTATAGCTCAGTGATGACAACACTTACTTTATTTTCATGGTAATTGCCACTGACCAACCGCGATCCTAAGCTTTTGAAGATGTCCTTAACCCCCCTGGTTTTTGCACAGATATACAGTAATAATATAAAGATATTTCAAGTTTTCTGTTGTTTTTGAGCAAAAATCTTAATATTTCCCTCGCACATTACTTGTTTTACAACGCCAGTTTGCTTCGCTTGTGGATGCAGCACTTTACTACAGAGAAACTAAAAAGAAAGACTATAAATTCTTTCAGGTAAGATTCACAAAACTTTTTTATATTAAACTTTCTAGACGACTAGCTATAGTCTGAGACTCTGAGTCACTCAGTCCACTAGACCCTTCATATAATTATGTCAAAAAGTCATCATCCTATTAATATATACAGCAAATATTTCATACATAAAAATATTGTTAATGATTATTAAAATATTGTGTGTTACATGAAATTATGTTGTTTTCAGTGTCAGCACTGGCCTGCCCTTTGTGGTTTTAATATTGCCAGACTGCCAGTTTTTAATTACTTGTATAAATTGTGGTTGTTTACATGTTCATAAAGGTTTAATATGGTGTGAAATTTATATACTTGCCCATCATAATGCAGAATTAGTGTATATAGATAAGCACAAGACTAGACTTGACAATGTGCCCTGTCCTGATGAGCCCTATATAAAAGACAGTCTTTATTATTTTACTCTGTTTGTCTAATGCCAGATGATATTAAGACGAGACCGCTCACTGCTGCCTCGCAGTGGGTCAATTTAATACACTATCTGCCAATGAGCAGCCCCTGAGATATATAGTCAGCCCATTATAGGCTGCAATGCACCCAAATGAACCAGCTACTTTCTTACTGGGACTGCAGAACAGGGGGGCCATGCCCCCCCCCCCCCC